AAGACAGGGTTTCTCAGTAGCTTTGGAGTCTGTTCTGAATCTCACTTTGTAGACCAGGCTGGCCTCGAACTCACAGAGATCCGCCTGCCTCTGCCTCCCAAGTGCTGGGATTAAAGGCATGCTCTACCGCCGCCAGGCTACTGAATACATTTTACATTTTATAACAGTATCATTATGTATTGCTATGTACCACTATAGATCACTATATGCTATCACAATGTAGGCTACATAAGGATGCAGGCGGAGACTGCAGTGATTTGTCTGCAAGTCAAAGGATGCCAACGTTCTGAGACCCACCAGAAGCTCAAGTATTTCCCAGTTCATAGAAGGCAAGCTGTAATCTAGACAACTATCCATGGCTGGAGAGGTCATAGACCTTAGAAGAGACCCTACTATAGCTATTTTCATAAACCAACAGAACTTCTAACTGTATTCTAATACTTATCCATACAGATAAGTGCAGCTCTCACCCTCATAAAGAAGCTTCATTTAGCAGCAGATGGAGATTATTAAAGAGATCCACAACTGGTCAAAATGCAGAGAAAAGGAGACTAAAGTGCCTAACCCCAAATGATCCATCTACAACAGAACCCCAAAGGCTGAGGAAATCACAGAAGAGGGCACAGGAAGATTGTAAGAGCCAAGGCCAGGACTCCTTCGGCTGATACTGCCTTCTAGACATTACAGGGGAGCTGCACCCATAGAATCTCAACAATATGGTTGCCTAACAACAACAAACAAACAAACCAAAAAACAAAAAACACCAGTATAAGTTGAGCATCGGTGGTGCAAACCTTTAGTCCCAGCCCTTGGGAAGCAGAGGCAGGCAGATCTCCATGAGTTCAAGGGCAGCCTGGTCTACAGAGAGAGTTCCAGGACGACCAAGGATACACTGAGAAGCCCTGTCTTGAAAAACAAAACAAAACAAGAAGAGGCCATGAATTTGAGAGGAAGAGAGGGACGTGAGGGAACAGGAAATGGGAGAGTGTGGAGTGGAAATGATACACAGCATTCATGTATGAAAAACATTAAATTAAGAAGCCAACTGAAGCCGGGCGGTGGTGGCGCACACCTTTAATCCCAGCACTCGGGAGGCAGAGCCAGGCGGATCTCTGTGAGTTCGAGGCCAGCCTGGGCTACCAAGTGAGCTCCAGGAAAGGCGCAAAGCTACACAGAGAAACCCTGTCTCAAAAAACCAAAAAAAAAAAAAAAGAAAAGAAAAGAAAAAAAAAAAGAAGCCAACTGAAGTAATAAGATAGAAGTCTCTAGTAAAGACAGACTCTAAAGAGCAAAGACTAAGCAGTCAACAATTAACACAGCCACACTGAGGCAGATATTACCACAATCCTTGAGCCAGACCTCCCCGCCCTTACAGTGGCACATCCTAAGACTCAGAAGAAGGGAAGTACAAGAGTAAAGGAATGAACTCAGGTCCTCAGCCCGGGGGCAAAGCACCTTCACCTGTGGAGCACTTTATCAGTCTCACTGTGGTGTCTTAGTGAAAATTAACTGACCATTATGTTTGGGATTATCTGTGGCCTCTCTATTCTATTTCACCGGCCTCTGTGTCTGGTTTTTCAAGGGATTTTGCAGTATTAGGAATTGAACCAGTGTCTCCCATACACCTCCAACCCTTTTAAATTTTATTTGGAGACAAGGGTCGTACTAAGTTGCCAAGGCTGGCCTTGGACCTGTGGTTTTCTTGCCTCTGACTCCTCAGGAGCTAAATCACAGGCGTGTGCTATCACAGCCAACACTTATCTGTTTTTATTCTAGTGGGATTCTGTTTATTACTGCAGCTTCATAATGTAATTTTGAATTAGGATGTGTTACATCACTAACTTTTTCTTCTCTCAGTATTGATGTGGGTACTTGAGGCTTTACGCTTCTGTACAAATTTTAAGATTCTTTTTAAATTTCATGAAAAAGCTATTGGGTTATAGATATATATTGAATCTCTATATTGCTTTTATTCTTTTTTTGTTTTGTTTTTTGTTTTTCAAGACAGGGTTTCTCTGTGCCTTTCCTGGAACTCACTTGGTAGCCCAGGCTGGCCTCGAACTCACAGAGACCTGCCTGCCTCTGCCTCCCGAGTGCTGGGATTAAAGGTGTGCGCCACCTCGGCCTAGCCGTTTATTCTTGGTGTCTCAACAGTATTTAATCCTTCAGTCCACAAGCAGAAGGGATCTTTCCATTTACTTGTGTTTTCCTCAGTTATTTAGAAACCAAATTTGGGATTTAGAAGGCAAAAATCCCATGAAGGGCTCCAGGTGTTAAGGGTTTCTGGTGGTCTGGGATGAGTTCCCTTCTCCTCATTTTAGGTTGGTCAGCATAGACAAATAAGAGTGGGCAGAGGCAGGGGGATCTCTGTGAGTTCAAGGCCAGCCTGGGCTGCAGACTGAGTTCCAGGACAGGCTCCAAAGCTACACAGAGAAACCCTGTCTTGAAAATAATAATAATAATAATAATAATAATAATAATAATAATAATAATAATAAATAATAAATAATAAATAAAAATAAAAGGATATGGAGCAAATTTGATAAAAATTAATATTATAAAATCTTGACGATGAGCATATTAAACTATGGTTCCTCATGCTTTTCTGTATATGAAATATTTCATAATTTAATTTAGAAAATTGAATTAAACTTCTAGTATTACAGCTAAGGAAACAGTAAATAATAAAGGTAGGGTAATGAAGGATTAGTCTCTCAGTAATATTATTTTCATTCTATTAAGAAAAAGTAAAGTGTAATTTTGCATATGTATTTCAGAAAAACTTGCTTACCCTTAAATTTATTCATTGTACCAATATTTTGAAGAATTCTTCTTGGACTGTTTGCTGCAAAACAAGCTGCCTTCTCATATTCACCAAGAGAGATTAATTCATTGAACCTACATTGAAAACACATTTCCATGATACACAAAAACCAAGTATTAGAAATTAAGTACAATGGTGTAGTGGGAAACAAAGGTAACCCCGTAAGTTATGACTAGATTTATCCATTCCGTTCTCCTCTAGAGTTCTAGGGTTTGTTTTGACCTGCTTGTCTAGGGTTAAATTCTCACCTTCTGAGTAACTTTGAACCTGACCCTGAACTTTGTCCCCACAGGTCCCACGTAGAAAACAGGAAGGAAGAACAGAAGTCAATTTATACTGAGTTGGGCTTCTTTTCCTCACAGATCACCAGGAAAGAGCTATCCGCTTAGAGTTGAGGAAATAACGGAACACAGATGCAGCGCAGAGCGAGTACCAGGAGGAGTTCCGAAGCAGACACTGCTGTTGTATCAAACTCCCCATGACCGCAAGCACAGATAACAGCTCATGAAGCCTTCACTCTTCCTCCTCCACACAGCAGAGGTCCCAACTAGCCGTTAGGAAAAGAGGAGTCACACAGAGTGATGAAGGGTTGAACAAAGTGGGAACACCAAAGTAACAGGAAGCAAAATGTTTAAGACTGTGGACCTTGGGAACGTGGAGCACACCTTTAATCCCAGCACTCGGGAGGCAGAAGCAGGTGCATCTCTGTGAGCTGGAGGCTAGCAAGGTCCACAGAGTGAGATCTAGGATAGCAAGGGCTACACAGAGAAACCCTGTCTCAAAAACAACAATAAACAAACAAAAAGACTCTGATCCTTAGCAAAGGTTTTCCTCTCATATGAACACCTGGAGTAGTGCTATGAAAACTCCACAGTGGCTGGAGTCGGCTGGAGAAATGGCTTAGTCTGTGAACTGATGCCACCCAGCACCACCAACATCCTTCTCATCCCTGAGCTGACAAGGCAGAGGACCCCTGAGTGTTCAGTGAAGCTTGGTGACCCATGTAAGGGGATGGAAAGACCTGATTCCACAAAGTTCTCCAGGGACCTCCACCCACATTAATAATATAAACAAGTAAACAAATTAGATGAAGAAGCAATTGAAGAGTGACACTCAACACTGACTTCTGGCTTCTACACTCATGTGCCCTCACTCACCTGTGCATGCGCATACAAACAAATGCACACAAGAAATTAAAAATTATATTAAATTTGGGCTGGAGAGATGGTTCAGTGGTTAAAAACACATACTACTATTGCAGAAGACCTGTCTGATTCCCTGCATCGACACTGGGTGGCTCCTAACCATTTGTGACTCCAAATCTAGGGGATCTGACTCCTCTGGCATCTGTGGGCACTAAAATTCATGTGCAAACTCATGTATGTAGACATACTTAAAAATAATAAATACTTCAAAAATGATATTAAAATTTAAAATCCTAGTAGACTCAGAGAAATATAGAGTATAAGAACAAACAGAGTCTTTGAATTGTCTTTACCCACTTCTTTGTACCATAACAACAAACAAATCAGCAAATGAAAACTGGATGTTACATATGCCGATGGCTTTACTCGGACAGCTTATAAATTAACCGTAAAACAATTTACACCTATCTCAGATAATACATACAGAGCATGCATTAGCTCACTGCTGGCTGCTCTTGGCTGTGGATGTAATACTCCAGCTGCGTCAGGTCCCGAGCCCCTTGACCTCCCTACAACGATGGTCTGTAACCTGGAATTATGCAAGCGATTTCTAACTATCCTGCTAGTGCAAGGACCATACAATGGCTCAGCGAGTTCAGGTGCTTTCCACTATGCCTGACAACCTGAGTTCCACTCCCAGGACCCACATGGCAGAAAACACAAACACTCCTACAAGCTGTCCTCTGACTGCTATGCCCCTACCTACCCACACAAAGTAAGTAAATAAAGTGTAATTAAAAATAAAAATAATATACAGTAACAAGTAACTTAATATATCATAGAATAAAATATTACAAAAAGATTACACTAGCTATAGTAATCTAAAATTACATGATAAATTCATAGGTTTTCATAAAAATCTATGAAAAAAAAGAAAATGCTAACTTTTCTAAGTCATCTGGAACATATTTTTCTTTTTTCCAGTTTCCCCTCCCTCCTCTCTCCCCATTCCCTCCCCCACCCCCATCCACTCCTCCTCCAGGAACAGAATTCTTAAATCACAAAAGACAAACCTGCCAGCCAGCATTCAGGAGGTGGGCAGGAGGGTCAGTAGTTCAAGGTCGTCCTGCACTACACAGTGAGGCTTGGGGTTGCGAGATATTATCTCAAAACAAACAAACAAAAGTAAAAGCAACAACAAAAACCCACCCAAAACAAATAAACCCAAAATACAAATGATGGTGTGAAGGCAATACAGACTCCATCTTAGGGAAGGGCCACCATCTTAGACCACCTGCTGTACTCAGTTCTCAGGAATGTGCCATGACAACTAGAACAGATACAGAGCAGTATGCTCATGCAGACCTTGTCTGTGGTTTATGGCCCTTGAAGATACCCAGATAATCCTGCTCAGCAAGTTAAGGTTTTGTGCCCAAAGTCTAGACCAATAATTTCAAAAAAACACCTTGCCCCATATCCCTTCTACCCAATGCCAAATGCCAAAGCATGTAATTCCCAACTTGGGTTTTCCCTATAAAAACTCTTTTGGGCCCGCAGCCACTGCCACATTTCCCTCCATCTGCCGTGTGGTGGCCCAGGTTGAACCTGACAATAAAAGGACCCTTATGTGCTTTCGTCAGAAACCAGCTCCGTGGTGGTCTCTGGGGTTTTCTGAAACAGGTACAACAATACTTGCCTTTCAATGTAGTAAAGCATAATTATAGCTTCTTTTGTCTTGCTTGGGTCATCTTCAAATAGTTCATCAACAATGATTTCATCACCTAAATATTGAAAGGACAATTTGTAATGATATGTAAGGCTGTTTAGCAATAGGAAATACTAAACATTTTAGAGCCAACAACTTACTACTTTGATTTCAAAAGGGGTTACTTCCCTCCCTCCCTGGCCTCCTTCTGAGAATTAAGACTCGGGTTTGGTTTTGTTTTTTCCCCTCTCTTTCTCATTTTTTAAATCTTTTTAAAAATTTTATTTGTATTTCACATACATTGGTGTTTTGCCTGCATGTGTGTGAGGGTGTCAGATCCCCTGGAACTGGAGTCAGAGTTGTGAGCTGCCATGTGGGTGCTGGGAATTGAACCCAGGTCCTGTGGGACCAACTGAGACCTCTCCAGCCCTAGGTCTTCTCTCTTTGCCTTACCAAGTCTACTCTTTCAGCAATCATCTGTCAGGTGCTGAAGGAAGGAACCCATGGGGTAAGAGAGAGCTAGAGGAAGTAAGTGTATTTTTAAAACTCAGCCTAGAAAACCTTTTAGCTCTGGAGGAAGTGCCTTCTACTGTTTGTGCTAATTAAGAAGACAGGCCAGCTACCGAAGATTGCACTGGTTTTCTGAATTTTCTCCATGATGTCTTCAAATGGGATTCTCAAGTTATCCTTCATCCATATAGTAAGCGTGTGTGAAATAACCTGCAGTCTTTGATGGCTGTAAAAGAAGAGCATCAACAATGCCCTGAGCTAGGCTCACACAGAGGGTGAGAGTCAAGGTAAGCTGACCGACTTGCATACCGAAACTGCAGGTCTTTGTTCAGACTCTCAGCTATATCTCGGCGGTTTAGTAACACAACCATTTCTTCATCCAGGTCAGCCTTCTTTTGTGCTGGTACGTACTCTGTTGACATAGCTTGCTTACGTTTTACATATTTATCTTCAAGATGCCGCTTATATTTATTGAGAGCATCCAGATTGACAGATTCTTGAAGAGTCATCCCTATAGGAAAAACAAACAACCGAGTCTTGTGTAGGATGGTTTACTGCATTATAAAATAACTCAGAAACGGTAACAGGAACTTGTAGCTTCCTGAACATAAATACAATCATCACAAAACTGTAATGCTAATAGTTTGTTGTTGTTTTTAATCTATTTGTTTATTGTGGTGCTGAGAACTGACCTTATGCAAATTAGGCAAATGCTCAAACCCCAGCTGAGTTTTATTCAGCATCAAGGATAGTTCAGAGAAGACTGATTGTTCCAAGAATTTACTTGCATCTAAGTAACTAAGCATCTAATGACTGAGCTAAGATTAGGCCAACGGGTTTCTCTCAAACCACATCTTCTACTATTCTCCCTGGAACAACAGTTTATTTTTTCCAACACAAAACTGAGATGTTTCCAAATTTTGAGATGTCTCTTACTCTTGAAATGCCCCTTCTGTTCATTACACACACACACACACACACACACACACACACACACACACACACACACACACACACACCTCTCTCTCTCTCTCTCTCTCTCTCACACACACACACACACACACACACACTTCAAATGCCTTCCTATCTCATCTGGCCAATTACTGATTTAGGACCTACATCCACAGCCAGGTGTAGCAGTACACAGAAGGCAGACGCAGGTGGATCTCTGTGAGTTCAAGGTCATCCTGGTCTACAAAGTGAGTTACAGGACAGCTAGGCTACATAGAGAGAAGCTATCTTTTAAATAAATAAATAATAAAAAGACATATACCCAGGACCGGAGAGGTGGTTCATTGGTGAAGGGTGCTGGCTCTTCTACTAGAAGACTGGGTTCAATTTCCAGCACCCACAGGGTGGTTCACAACCTTCTGTAACTTCAGTTCTAGGGGATCTGATGCCCTTTCTGACCTCCATGGACACTGGGTATGCAGGTGGTGCACAGACATGCATGCAAACAAAACACTCATACACATAAAATAAGAAATAAAAACTATGGCTGGAGAGATGGCTCAGTGGTTAAGGACACTGGCTGTGATAGGAATTCCAACCACGCCCCACTTAGTCATCTCCGCTTAGTCATTTCCGGGTCACGTCCTGCGGGACCCATGCCCCATTGTTATGCGGTCATGTAGTTGTGTGGGCTTGTGTGTGCAGGTGCGTCCTGGCCTATAAGGCGGCCCCATGTTCCCCGTCTCTTTTCTCACGAGTGTCCTTCCACAGGCCTGATCACATCTATCCCTTTGTCTTGATAAAACTCTTGTTAGTGGATTCTGTCCTGTGTTGTGACTTTTCCTTTGGGGCAAGAACGCCACAAGAAAAAAAAAACAAAACACCCAAAAACCATCAGGCTGCTCTTCTAGAGGACCCAGGTTCAATTCCCAGCACCTACATGGTAGCTCACATCCACCTATAACTCTAGTTTCTGGAGATCCAGTGCCTTCTTTTGGCCTCTGCAGGCAACAGGCATTGAACATGGTGCACAAATACATATGTAGGCAAACACTTAAACCCATAAACTAAATTTTTAAAAATAATAATAAAAACTAAAATATTTAAAAAAAAAAGAGATACACATTCAAATTCAGCTCCCCCAGAATTTTTCCACCCCCAGGATTAACCCTTTTTGATTTTCTCTGCCCTGAATCTTCTTGGCAGTCAGCCAATGTGCTGTGAATTTACATTGTTTGGAGTTTTCTAGTCACAATTTTGCATTTGAAAGTAAATATAATCCCTACTATCACCAAGTGCAAGAGGATTTGACAACTTAGGTTGAAATTTTGTAGTATAGAATAGTTCTTTACCTCAAAACACAGCCTTTTCAATTTATCTATCTTCCTGAAGCTTCTACCTACTGGATCTACCTCTGGGTAAACACTAAGCAAAACCCCTTTAAGATCTGAAGTTACTGACCTCAGATTACTATCCTCAGTCTTGTAAGTCATACGAATCTCTCTGAGTCCTGGATGAAACCAGGACTACTCTATGTTGCACCCAAAAGTCTGATGTCCCCAAAGACCACCAAGAGACTGATTAGAATGCAAAGAGTCTTTGAGAGTTTAAACCCGGGCCCCTCATCCATCGTCTCAGTGGTGGAGTGAGAGGGACCCCAAGCAGGAACAGGACAGGATTTTTATAGTGGTTAGGGTCAGGAGTCTAGGGGAATTCCAACTCTCTATATATTCCAACTCTTATAACTATATAGTTATAAGCTCAGGATAGGTGCTTACTTCAGGTTAGAGACACTTGGTGTGAACTGACTGGAGTGTTGCAGCTGCAAAGAAATTGCCATATCCTCTAGCAATTTATGTCATCGCATCTGTATCACCAGCAGACCCATTTCCAATGACAGTTAGACATCCCACTTTATCTGCAGGAAACTCATTCCCTCTGACAGCTATGGTATGCAATCTATAACAGCAGAAAACATCCCACAGGACATAGCTGGTGCTTTGTTTATTATGCCAGTTATGTCATATCATATCCTTTAGGTTAAGGCAGGAAATGTCTGGAATTTGTTCTCATGTAGTTCCTAATTGTCTGGGTCTGGGGGCAGAAGGGGCAGCACATCCTCTGGTAGGTTTTTAGATTAATTTGTCCCAGGGTCTGCTGCCCCGTCTGACCCTTCTGTAAGATGGGTGCAACTTTGTTATCCTCTCACTCTATATTAAAGTCATGAAAACATGAAACCAGTGAATGCTGACTTCACCATGAATTACATTCAGCAAACTTAATACACTACAATTTTTAATATACCAGTGGCTCTCAAATTTTAGAGTGTATCAGAATAACCAGAACTTCAGACACTTCAGACATCACCCAACAGACTCCTTCACCAAGTTTCTGACACAGTAAGTCTGAGATGAGATCTAATGGTGTGTGTGTGTGTGTGTGTATGTGTGTGCGCGCGCCAGCAGAAAGTATACATACATGTGTGTGTAAATACATGATTTATATGAGGTGTCTTCCTCAAGTTCCAGGGACCCACTTGTTTCTGCCTGTCTCCCTGCCCACCCCAGCAATGGATTAGAGTGGACACCGGCTTTTACCTGGGGAGAGGGGTCTGAATGCCAAGTGTGCACACCAGGCACTTTACTAATCTCACCAAGCCCAAGAATTCTACTTTTAATAATTCTCAAGTCATGCTGACATTGGCAAGTGAGCCTCTGACTGTGAGCTGACCAGATTGCAGTCGGGGCATCTTTCAGAGCTGCTTTCCAGTTTGCTCTTTCTTGAGTATCTACTGGACCCTGTCTAATGTTGCTTATACAACACACAACCAAAGATATTCACATACTAGCACATTATACTAATTTTTTTGTAAAAAAATTTTTATGTTTGTGTAAGAGGCGGCCAATTGGACACACTGGGGATTTCTCTGAAACAGGATTTTTGTTTGTTTGTTTGTATTTTTTTTCTGAGACAGGGTTTCTCTGTGTAGCTTTGGTGCCTGGCCTGAAACTCTCTCTGTAGACCAGGCTGGCCTTGAACTCACAGCAGGCCTCTGCCTGCCGAGTGCTGGGATTAAAGGTGTGCGCCACCACTGCCTGGCTCTGAAATGGGATTTTAAATGAGACTTTGCACCTGGGATTGGTCTCCAGAGCTGCCTGGTAGAAGAGCAGAGCTTCACTTCTTTCCTGTCATACTTGGCTCTCAGCTGCTTCATCTCATCTATTTGCAACTGAATAACTGTGGAATTTTTTTCAATAATTCTCACTCTGCAAAAAAACAAAAACAAAAACAAAAAAACAGAAATGCTTTTGTATGCTTGCAACACCAATTTAATTCCTGAATCATAGTTAGAGTAAAACAGACTAGATTGTTGCTTTATTTGGCTAATTGCAATTTGAACCATTGTGAGCTAGATGTTTAGAAAAGAATGCCTACAGAGAGCTGACACAAATAGGGAACACTTTCCACTCAGAGTGCCAAGGAAAGCAAGCATATTACTGCAAATTAATGAACATTAGCTATAATAGATGTTACAAAACAACATCTATTCCCTTTAGTAACTGAAAAAGCATTTTTAGTTTTCTTGTTTCTTTTCTCTTGAAAGGGTCTCATTATGTAGCTAAATTTGGCTTTGAATTTGTGATCCTGCTCCTTCAGTGCTGGATTACAGGTGTGAACCATCCCACTAGGCTTAAAGAAAAAGCTTTAAACAAACAAACAAAAAAAAAAAAAAAAAGAAGAAAAGAAAAAGAAAACTGTTATTTTGCTGGGGGCTATTGTTACAATTATTACAAATTTTGTGACTTAAAGTAACATCTTCTCATCATTCTGGTGGCCAGAAGTCCAAAAATAGCATCTATTTTTAAGGAACATTTTATTATCCGGTGGGTCCCTTATTGTTGGGATCGCCAGATGAAGTGCTGTAGTTCTGATGGGAATTGTGAACCTCTACTGTCAAATGTCCATGCATGAAATGACTTCACTCCGTTCATGATACCACAACATACCTTCTCTATACTGAGGGAGATCATGAAATCAAGCAAAATTAAGTGTTACTTAAAATACATATAATACAATTGGTAGAAGGGACTATAAAACTATAGCTTTAAAAATTGCTGCAGACCACAGGAATATATCACAAGAACTCAGCTGGTTATGGCAAAGTCACTACCTGGAGAGATCAGGGAATTCCTCCAGAGGAAGCCAAATTCCAAGGAGTTTTTGGTGTTACTTGGCTTGTTATATATCAGCTGTCTTCTGTTATGAAAATCATGTGTGCCTTCATAGTTTTCCCAATTGACTTTTCCCTAAGAAGGGCTAACAGTGTGGACTGATCACTCTCTGGACATACACATTCCAGGTATTTGGAGAACAGCCTCAGGAAAGGCTTTCTCTGGAATCAGATATCTCCCTTAGTCACTTTCAAAGACTAGCAGTAATAACAGTCCACATGAAAGTCTCCTGATTTAAGATAAGTTCCACAAGGAGACACCGCCTAGGTCAGGTAGACATTAAGTAATAGCTTTACACAATTTAGCTCGGACCTTCCTTTCTTACAGCCTTACTAAGTTTATAGACCTCTAACTCCTTACCTAACTACTTCTAGGAATATTTAGATAACTTTCTGTGCTGACAGCTATGCTCAGCCAGAACCCCAGTTCAAGCCTCCCTGTGATTATCATCACTGGCAGCATCCGGCCAGGTCCATCCCCAGATGGAGGAAAACACCTTATCAGAGATACCTCTGTACTCTCTAAGAACAGACTTAAGCATCCAGGCTACCTGTTTGAGAAGGCCTAGTGGATGGGCCAATTAAGCTTAACTACCTCCTTTCCCAAACCTTACCTCTAGTTCCAGATCTCCCTTTAACTATCACCAGAGGCATCTAGCTGTGCACAGGTTGCCTAGTGACTGAGCACACTTTCCCCCACCCTGCAGAAAAATGGCAGATAGCTTGGACAGATAGGATCCACAGAAAAAAGAAGACAGTTTTATTTTCTCCCATTGACCTAGCAACTTATAGATTCTTAACATTTTCTACCAATCGTGTTTGAGGTTGAGCAAATCAGATCCCTCTTCTTAGATATTACCTGAATTTAGCCTTTAGTTAATTCATTTCCCCATTGGTCACTTCCCTTTGGGGTTGCAAATGATAATTATTGGTTATTGCCTCTCTATGTGATTATTATCACCCCTCCTTTTGATTCTGGAAGCCTGGCTCTGCACTGCTAAGGGAATACTGCTTGTAAGTGTATATATACCAGGACTTCCAGGGCACAGGAGGACGGAAGAGAGAAAAGAGAATGGAAGAACTAGATGGGTAAGAACTTGAGAGGAACAAACTGAGATGGGGAAGAAATAGATTGAAGGGCCAGAAGAGAGTACATGTGGACAAGATGGAAAATGAGGAAGAGTCAGATGGGGAAGTACTAGCTGGGTAAGAACAAGATGAAAAGGACCTAGATGAGGCAGAATTAAGATGAGAGAATTAAGACAGAACTTAAGAGGGAGCAGTAGATATAGAGAGAAATCAGGCAAGAAAGGAGCCAGGCACGAGAGCAGAACTGAAGCTGTGTAAATAGGATGTTATGCCAGAGGAATTAAAGCAAGTGGACTATAGAGCTCGGTGTGCTGAGATTCTATTTCCCAAAAATAGTCCTTGCCATTTGTAGTTCTCTCTCCTGAGGCCCTGGGATGTATAATATTGAGGCTGGTCCCTCTAATATTATACAAGAAAAAATAAAAATTTAATTAAAGGTATATAAATTTATAAGGTTATAGCACTTGAAGGCTAAGGGTCTTGAGCAAGGCCAGTCTGGTGAATTCATGGCTAGCTTAGGCTAAACAGTGATACCATGTCTCAAAATAATAAAATAAACCAAACAGTAAAACTAAAGACCGGCCGATTCTTATCATCAAGTAGCAGGGCACCTTTCTGGCTAGTGACTGACATACTCACTTTGCTTCAAGTTGAAAGGCTCTTCTCTGGTGGTATACCAATGCTGTGGGCTCTGCTGCCAAAACTTTAAGTTTTCCATGAAGATAATAAGCAGTTCTTCGGCCTTTCTTTATTGTCTCAATAAAGGCATCATATTCTTTTTTGATTGAAGTAAGAATGGATTTGTATGCACTGACATAGTCTATTACCTGAAATATGATTTTTCTGTCTGTGGTACTGATTTTTTTTTCTTAACAGAAGACACAGTGATCAAAAGCCTTTTAAGCATGTTATATTTAGGTGAGTCATGATTATTAGTTAGAAATATAAACATCTTACAGCAAACTCAACATGACTAGGCACTAAAAACAATAATCACCAAAGCACGCTCTCTGTGGGTCACTATGTAGATATTGTGATCCTAACTATGAGAAAGGCTTTCTTATACTTGGTATGAATTCATACATGAGACATGGGCTAATACAGTACTAGGTCTACATTTTCAACTGTAGATCTTTTAATTATGTACTTTTACTCCATTAAAATTGCCTCTTGACTTCATTTACATATTATCTTTTGTACTACATTAATTATGTGTATGTATGTGTCTGTGTTTAGGAGTGTGCATGTGAGTGCAGGTACCTGAAGGAACCAGAAGCTTCAGATCCCCTGGAGCTAGAGTTACAGGTGGTTCAGAACTACCTGATGTAGGTGCTGAGAACCAAACTCAGGTCCTCTGGAAAAGTAGGGTGTGCTCCTGACCACTGAGCAATCTCTCAAGTCACCACTGAAATATTGCAATCTGAACTCATTTACCTCCACTAGGAAAATCAGGTCAGAGTTCCTAATTACATCTTTATTCGAAACATGTCAAAAACAGCTGTGAAAACAATTCTCATCACTACATATTCCTGGTTTCTAGTAATATTTAAGCAAAACATCTGTCAGGAAGGATAACAAAGGAAAAGAACTGTAGAAAGGTTAACAAGGAAACTAAGTGCCTGCAGAAAGGACAAGTCTCAATGTGAGGGGCTGACTCCTCAGCATACACCTCTTTATTAGGGCTTTCCCCCTTAATCTTGTATATGCATCACTCACACAAAAATAAATTGTCAAAAATTTTAAACAGGTTAAGAAACAAACAGAAAAAATTTTAATTTATGTTTTCCAAATAGTGATGATATACAGGGAATAAAGGTAATCAATCCAAAATTTTCTCTGAAATGTGAAATTATGCTTGTTTATCTGCATTTCTTGGGTGTGTTATCCTCCATGAGTTTTCTTTAGCTAAACAGTATCTAAAGAAAGTTATCCAGGAACACATCCATTTTACCACCTGTGGACTAGAGAGGTCATTAATCTGTAGCAAGTACCAGGAAAAGGTATCTGAGGAAATGCAGTGTCTTTTTTGTTTTTCATACCCACTGCCTGTTCACCCCAACCAGGAATTGTTTTTGAGGAAAGGTTTTCCACATTCAGCTTCCTGCTACTTATTCCTGCTCAGCTTCTATCTCACGTGATCCTGTAATGTGCTCCAATAATGCAGCTCTAACACATTAATGGGTAATTAATACACTGTAGTGACTCCACGATCAGTGACCTTGTCAGTGTGCTAGAAGAAACAGATCTCTGTAGAATAAACGTGGATACCTTTTGGAATATAAAGAAAAGCATTAAGGTGGAGGATGCAAGCTGGCATACCACCTGCAGAACAGAGCTGGCAATTTCACCGTACACAAAAACATTTTAAAGTTTGGGACTTTTTACCACTAATCTACTTACAGCTTCTCAAAGATTCTGAGAGTCTAACAGTACCAAAGCCCCGTTAAGGCAAATGGCACTTTCACTGGGTTGGTTCTTCACTTTCCTGTGGTCCCCACCATTCCTTACCCACTCACAGCTAGCCTATGTGGTTCTTTTACAGTATTTGTCTGGACTCTGCACTTTCTTCTTTCCATTGGTGAGTACAGATCTCTCTTTGTACTTTCTCTTTTCCCCCTTCCTTTCTTTTCCTTTGGTTTCATATGTCCCAAGATGGTCTTCAACTCACTATGTAGCTAAGGATGACGTTGAACTTTTGATATTCTTGCCTCCACCTCCAAAGGGTTGGGATTACAGGTGTGTACCACCATGCCGGAGTTAAACCATGTGGTGCTGAGGGTGTAACCGAGAGCCTTGAGCCTTCTGCCCAAGCTACATTCCCTGTCTCTGTATTGACTTTTCATTAGAGTGAGGAATTAGGCCTTTACAACAGTCTTCTTTAGCACATATTCATCATAGATAATAGTAAGTTTCAGATGACATTTCCATAATTGTGTTTTAATTTTAATCCTCTTCCTTTTCCCTAACACTTTCTACTTCTACCTTAATTTTAATTTTTTCGTGTGTGATCCAATGAGTTTAATTAGGTTGCTTAAATAAGTGTAAGTGAAGAGACTATTTGTAAGAGCATAAAGCAATTTAGGCTACAACACTGAAGAAAATGTCTCTTTCTCCCCTTCAGCAACCATTAACTGCTTAAAGATCCTCAGGAGGAACTAGGTTTTTATTTACACAAGAAATAAAACTCAGTGGAATGTTTAAAAATTAATCAGAAGACTGAGTTTCCCTGGGAGGCAGAGGCAGGCACATCTCTGCACGATTGAAGTTAGCCTAGTCTACAGAGTGAGTTCCTGGAAGACTGAGTTCCTGTTCTGCTTTGTGTGTTTTATTCTGGGACAGTGGTATACAAATCTTGAGGTACATTCTTCCTCCAAGCAAAGAGGAAAGGATGATAATTCTACTTTTGTTGTCAGGGCATCTTCCAAGGGCTGATAAAGAAAATGCTAGGTGGGGCTGGAGAGACAGCTCAGTGGTTAAGAGCTCTGGCTGCTCTTCCAGGGGACCCCGGTTCAATTCCCAGCACCCACATGGCAGCTCACAATTGTTTGTAACTCTAGTTCCAGGCAATCTGGCACCTCACACCAATGTACATAAAATAAATTTAAAAAAAAAAAAAGAAAGAAAGAAAATCCTAGGCAAAGATTTAGAATTAATCAACAAACTATAGTTGTTCAAAAGGAGACAGTTATTTCTAAAATTGCAAAGAACAAAAATCGGACATGCCATATAAAGCTGTAATGTTTTCTAATCTAGTCCATTATTTCCAGTGTTAAAATCAGTCAAACCCTCTATGCACTTCTAACAGGACTCAAAATGTTTAGATGAAGCTTTTGGTTGATTCATTCATTGATTCTGAGCTGAATCACATCATTTTGCTGATGGCCTCCAACTCCTGGCTGCAAGGGATCTCCCAGCCTCAGCCTTTCTACCAGCTAGGATTACTGGCATGTAGCACAGCACCTGGCTGAAGAGGTTTCATTTAACATGCCATATCATATCTAAACCAAGATTTTAGTGATACATAAATAAACCTAGAACACAAACTACCAGTTCTTGTTCACAATGCAAATTCTAGCAAATCAGATGGCACCTTAACAGGAAAGGGTGAAAATGATTACCAGAGGGCATAGCCAAGTTGTTGACAAACAAAACAAAACAACAAAAAAAATAGCTTTCTAAACTAAAATAAGTGACTCTAACTAGCAGTCAGGAAATGTAAATGCAGCACTAAACTTTCCCCCATTCAACCTGGTTTAAAAAACTGGATGAGCTTCTCCAGAGTAGTATACACAATGTGGTCAATCAGGCAGCAGTACTTCTCAGGCAGTAGTTAAACTAGGTAATGTACAGTCTCTTGGAAACATTCCGTCTTAAAGAGCATCATGTTACCTTATCGAAAACATTTCGGTATATAGTGTAATACTCATCAGCAGGTCCTTCCTCATTGCAGCCCACTCTTTCGGTTTCTGTAGTTATGTATCTTTGCATGCTTTCCAAAAACTCCTTGTCACTTCTACTAATGATAGGAGGGAGAACTGCATGTTTGTTTACTTCTTGGAATGACATAAATCTTAATCTGTAAGCTTGTTCACCGGAGAAAAATTAAACTTGGACTTTGTTTCTTTTGCAACAAAGCCAAAAAACTTTAGTAAGCCTGAAATAAAACATGACCATCAGTTAATCTATAAGTCTACAACTCTTAAGTCAAACTCAATTTAAAAATATGCATGTTTCAAAAAAATTCTTAGGGACCTGTTACTGAGATAAACATTTCAGTCAATGAGTTAAAATGCCCATGCTGTTCTACTGATAATTGCTACTTCAGAATATGCCAGACAGTTAAGAACTCTCCCTTAGAGCCAGTGAGATGGCTCATCAGGCAAAGCACTTACTTCCCCATGAGAGCCCAAAGACCTGAGCTGTTGCCGAGAACCAACTCCACACAAGCCTCCCACCCTCGCCCAGTTACACACACAAAAAGATGACTGAATACAGAAAAACGCGCCTTCCTTTAGAAACCAGGCAGATTCCTCTTAGAAATATGATTTAAATGACAGCTTTATTATAGGTTTCAACTCAACACTTTAAAAAAAATTGTATTTTTTAATGCTGGGGACTAAATCAGGGTCATGAACATAACTCAGTATTGAATTCCCTTTCATAAATGCAGTTTAACCACAAGTTGCCTCTTGTCCTAGAAACAACAGTTCTTGCAAACCTGGCTGGTCTTAAACTCCCTTCGTAGCTGAGAATGACTTTGAAGACATTCCTGCCCCTAGCTCCCATGTGCCAGAATTATAGGCATGCGCCACTTTGGGGGCTGGAGGGAGGATTGGATGCTCTCTTCTGGCCTCCACTGGCCCCGCGAATGCAAGTGATACAATAGACGTACATGCAGGCAAGCATGCACACTTGCACACACTTGCTTTCTCCCCCATCACTCAGGCAGCCTTATTTAAATTTAGTGGTTCAGTGGCTCCACACACAGCAAAGTAGAAAGGGCCTTGTTAGGAAAGTTTTCAGCGGGAGAATAATTACGGATAAGACAGGGTGATAGTGAAAAGAACTAAAATTCACTAAATATATGAAACTATCCAAGAATTTAAAATTACCTCTTGGCTGTGGTGGAACACACCTTTAATCCTAGCACTTGGGAGGCAGAAATAGTTCAAGGTCAACTTGGTCTACATAGTGAAATCCAGGCCAGTTGGGGCTACATAGCGAGACTCTGTCTCAAAAACAATATGATGTTTAATTTTTTTTCTAAAGAGCTCTAAACATAGTATTTATTGCATAGTATGAGATTCCATTAATTCTTTAGCCATCCCCATTAATCATTAAACACTTTTACTATAAATAATGCTGCTTCAAATAAATGTTTAAACTAACTTTATGATGTTTTACAACATAATTAGTAACCAGTTATCTGAAATATCAAACTTTAAATACCACATACGTAAGAACCAGGACAGCAGTCTGTCTCCACACTTGGAAGGCAGAGGCTAAGCTGGTCAACACAGTGAAATCCAGGCCATCCAGGGCTACATAGTGAGACCTTGTCTCTCTCTCTCTTTTTTTGGTTTTTTTTTTCGAGAGAGGGTTTCTCAGTGTAGCTTTGTACCTTTCCTAGAACCAGGCTGGCCTCAAACTCGCAGAGATCCGCCTGCCTCTGCCTCCCGAGTGCTGGGATTAAAGGCATGAGCCACCACCGTCCGGCGAGACCTTATCTCAAATAAACAAGTAATAAAATAAAAAAATAAAGGAGACACCATAATAATTTTGAAGTGTAAAAGACTAAATTTATCTTTTTTTGTTGTTGTTGTTTAAATGGTTTTTCGAGACAAGGTTTCTCTGTATAGCTTTGGGGCCTGTCCTGGAACTCTGTAGACCAGGCTGGCCTCGAACTCTCAGAGATCCTCCTCCTGACTCTGCCTCCTGAGTGCTGGGATTAATGGCGGGCACCACCGCTGCCCAGCTAAATTTATCTTTATACTGTAAGTTGGATAACAAAAAGTCAGTTTACAAGAGGACATAAAGTAGTCCCATCAAGGACACAAACAATGGATAGTTAAAGTCTTTCATTTAAAAAAGTTGGGGCTGGACAGATGGCTCAGAGGTTAAGAGCACTGGCTGCTCTTCCAGAGGTCCTGAGTTCAATTCCCAGCAACCACATGGTGGCATAATAAATAACTAAATCTTTAAAAAAAATAAAGCCGGGCGGTGGTGGCGCACGCCTTTAATCCCAGCACTCGGGAGGCAGAGGCAGGCCTGGGCTACCAAGTGAGTCCCAGGAAAGGCGCAAAGCTACACAGAGAAACCCTGTCTCGAAAAAACCAAAAAAAATAAATAAATAAATAAATAAAGTTATATAGAGCCTGGCAAGGTGGCACATGCCTTTAATCCCAGCACTCGGGAGGCAGTCTGGCAGATTTCTGTGAGTTTGAGACCAGCCTGGTCTACAAAGTCAGTTCCAGGGCAGCCAGGGCCATTACACAGAAAAACCCTGTCAGGAAAAACGAAAACAAAGTTATTTAGTGTCTGTGTGTATGTGTAGGTGCATGCTTGTTTCCTATGGAAGACCCAGAGACTGAACTCAGATCACCAGGCTTGGCAGAATGTGCTTTAGCTCACCGGGCCATATCACTGGGCTAAACTTTTCTCAAATAGAAAATCAACTTGTTTACTCATTAGTTCAACCACTGTTTTTGGTGGCACAAGCCTTTAATCCCAGCACTCAGGAGGCAGAGCCAGGTGGATCTCTGTGAGTTCGAGGCCAGCCTGCTCTAGAGTTCCAGGAAAGGCGCAAAGCTACACAGAGAAACCCTGTCTCGAAAACCAAAAAAAAAAAAAGTCATAACAGTTGTTAGTCCAGGGTGGGAGTGCTGTGCAAGTTTGCCTTGCTAGAGTCTGTTCTCTCCGCCATTTGGATCCCTAGGACAGAACTCCAGATGTCAACTCTCTTTACTAACTGAACCATCCAAATGGCCCTACCTTATTTTAAGAGATTTGTGTGTCGGGCTGGAGAGATGGCTCAGAGATTAAGAGCACTGACTGCTCTCCCAGAGGTCCTGAGTTCAATTCCCAGCAACCACATGGTGGCTCACAACCATCTGTAATGAGGTCTGATGCTCTATCCTGTCCTTCAGAAGGCAAACATACAGACAGAGCACTGTTTACATAACAAAATAGATCTAAAAAAATTAAGAGATTTGTGTGTCACGAGGATGTCCTGTGCCCCCAAACTTTCACTGAACCGGAAGCACAAGAATTGGGCTACTCTGGCTGGCCAATGAGCTCTAGGGAGTTTCCTGTCACTGCTGGCTTATCTGGTCACAGAACCGCCAGGCACAGCAGCCTTTTTTAAAGTGGGTGCTGGGGTTACAATACAGGTTTTTGCATATCAAGCATTGTATCTACGAGCCATTTCCCAGCCAAAAATGTGTATTTTGAAGGCAGCAGAGCTAGTAGACTAAAATGAGGAAAGAGCAGACACAGGTTATTAGGAAGATATGGATCCTCTTTAAAAAAAAAAAAAACCGGAGCACGTCTTCGTTTAGGGATAGGAAGAATAAACATTAAGAGGGTGCATTAAAAAGGACACTGGGTTTGTGAGGCGGAGGAGGGGCTGGGAAGGCGCAACCTGCTCCTAAGTGGTCTGTTTTGCTTATTTCTCCTAAGTATTTTTCCCGCGATGGGAAATCTCCACGTCCAGATTTGTGGTCGAGGACTAAACAATTACTCTGTAGGTTTCCTTACTGTATGGCTTTTAAAACGTGCAGAGATGCAAATTCCGAAATATTTAACCGTTTCACACCAGGACAGCGCGTGCGGCTCAGAAGCTTCCTCAGACTGGAGAAAAGGTAGCTGAGGGCCGGGGGGGCTGCAAGGAAGAGGCCGTACCCCGCACGTCGGAAGACTTGGTCTGTGACCCCGCCGTCCTGGGGTGGGCTGGCCGTGCCCTCTGCAGGGCCCGCACAGCGGACCCCCGCCGGCTCCTCATTACGGCGTGATCAATACCTTCGGCCTCAAAAGCCTTACGGGCCTTCACCCTCCCCTTCTAGGCATTTCCGGCGCGGCCCTACCCTCGCGCCAAACACGGCGCCACCACCAGGTCCTCACCTGAATCTCTAACCCTGAGTCCGGAGCTTAGAGACTGTAACCAGATAGCCCGGAAGTGGAGAACTGCATCCTGGGACAAGTAGTTTTAGCAAGAAGAGAGGCGCGAAAAACTACAGCTCCCAGAAAGACTTGGTACCTCTTTTCTCATGCCAACACGCCCCCCTTAAAGGAAAGCCCCCTTAGTCGCATCGACTGTATAGGAATGTCTTTTGAAGCATTTTTAAGCTGAGCACATCGTTTCGAGGACATGCGGAGGACCAAAAGGAGAAAAAGAGCGTCGAGCAGTGGAGCGCCCACGCCAGTCTGGCACTGCGTTAGCCAGCCGCGGTTCGGTTGCGGCGCGCAGGCACGTGCGTGGACGCCTAAGGGGCGGGCCCCTCGGCCGGGAAGCCCCGTCGGCCCGCGCGGCTCTTCCTTTCCGATCCGCCGTCCGTGGTGAGTGTCCGCTCGGCGGCCGGGCTCCGGCCGAGGCCGCGTGCGCCGCCGCCGCCGCCCGCTCTAACCCGTCTCCTTTCCAATGCAGGTGGGACCGCCGCCGAGATGCAGATTTTCGTGAAGACCCTCACGGGGAAAACCATCACGCTCGAGGTAGGCGGGGGGGCGCGGGGGAGCCCCGGCCCGCCGAGGCCCGAAGCGCCGCCCGGAGCGGGGGCTCTGAGCCGCGGAT